AGTCCTTGTACTTTCTATATATTCTTCCTTTGGTCTTTCGTTTTTTTTTTTTTTTAATTTATTCTAAGGGAAATGTCCTTTAAAGGAGAAAAATCCCAACCCTATTAAGAGACTATGATGGACTCATAGGCAAATAAATTTACTAAGATAGAAACAGTCTTCCCTTTATGAAGTTGATGAAGATCTTTATTTACCGGAAGCCGCATACAATCCTAAAGCGTCCAATTTTTGAAGAAATTAGCTATTCACTTGCCATCATTTGTCTAGATAAGGTATTCTCTTTGTAAGCACCTTGTAATGTAAGACCAAACTGAAAAGGTCTAATACTAAACGGCAGTCTCTGGGATTCACTGCTCCAGTTACAATTTCCATCATTCAATATTAAAATTCCAAATTTTATATTTGTATAATATAGTTTTATAAAATTGCATTTCTGTAGCACCTCTCATCTAGGGATCTCAAAGTACTTTATAAATATTAATAAATTAAGCCTCAACACTCATGAGGTAGATTCTTGCAGAGATGAGAGATAATATCAGTCATAAGGGCCGAGTAGAACTCAAAGTCTATGAAGTAGACAAAATGATTGTTTCTGGGGCCAAATCTAGAGCTACAGCCCAGCAGTCTGGGATTGCCTTTCCAGCATGATTATTTAGTAGAACATAGAAGTATTTCATAAAATTAAAAAAAAAATTGACATATTGGATAATTCTACAGATAAACTCTGGACATGACAGAGCACTTGTGTAAACTTTATGACCATAGATCATTTATCCTCTAACTAGGTCTGTCCATAGAAGGAAATGCTCTGGAGGCTTTTCTGCCCAATGCATATTTAGAGTAGTGCGTTGAATGATGTGATCCCCATAATAAAAAATGTGTTCAACTCATTTCACGTCTCTCATCCTAACCAGATTTGAAACTCTTCGTTCTGGAGAAGACCACCTGAAGCTTTCCTGGAAAGAGGATTCTGACCCAAAGAGAGAGTCCCCCCCCCACCCCTTGTTGATAGTAAACATTATGAACCTCAGCTTTGACGGAATATTAACAAGATTGGAATTTCCTGCACACAAGACATAATGTATTAAAATACGAGTCAAAAACAAGCTCATTGCCATTCCCAATCATTTTCTTTTCTAATATATGATGATAGTCTTTCCATTCCACTAGTACATCAGGAGGATGTTAAACAGCAGCTACTAAAGTTAGACATTTTCAAATTAACAGGTCTGGATGACTTGCATTGAAGAGTTTTAAAAGAGCTGTCTGAGCTCATCACTGGATCGCTAATGTTGATTTTCAATAGATCTTGGAATACTAGGAAAGTTCCAGAAGACTGAAAAACAGCTAATGTTGCACTAGTATTTAAAAGGGGTGAACAGGAGGATTTGATATCTTTTTTTGATGCGATTACAAGTTTGATGCAAGTAGTAGTGCAGATATAATATACTTGGACTTCTACAAAACATTTGACTTGGTACACAACATTTTGATTAAAAATAGAATATAAAATTAACACATTAAAAACTGGCTAACTGATAGGTCTCAAAATATAATTATAAGTAGGGAATCATCATTAAACAGGGAGGTTTCTAATGAGATCCCACAGGAATTGATTCTTGGCCCTACGCTATTTAACATTTTTATCAATGACCTGGAAGAAAACATATCACTGATTAAGTTCACAGATAACACAAAAATTAGGAGAGTGGATGAAGATGACAGATCACCGATACAGAGTGATATTTATCACTTGGTAAGTGGGGTGCAAGTAAACAATATGTGTTTTAATATGGCTAAACATAAGTATATACATCTAGGAATAAAGACTCCATACTTACAAGATGGGAGAGACTATCCCGGGAAGCAGCGACTCTGAAAAAGATTTGGGGTTGTCATGGATCATCTGCTGAACATGGAGCTCCAAGCACAATGCTGTGACTAAAAGGGCTAATGTAATCCTTGGATGCATAAACAGGGGAATCTCCAGTAGAAGTA